CAGCCCCCTGCCCCACGGCAGGGCCCAGCCCCCCAGATCCTCCCTGGCAGGTGTCTGTCCAGCCTGCTCTTCAGTGTCTCTAGCGGTAGAGACTGCACGACCCCCAAGCAACTTGTCCCCGTGCTTCACCGCCCTGTGGTTCACCACCCTGAGTTCTGGGGACCCTGGAGTGGGGGGCAGGATGGGGCGATGACACCCCACCCCCCACACCCAACAGGAAGCTTCGTGCTGCTGCCTTAGTTTTTGTACAGCTGAGTCCTTCGCAAGCCTGGTGTCAGCCTCGGGCGGGGAGGCTCCCAGGGGCCCAGCCTGGCTCCCACTTTCAAAGATGAGCCATGGAACTGCCTGTATCAGCCTCTCCTGGGATGGGAGCAGGAAAGTGTGACCCCCCAGCTTTGGGGGGTTCTCTGGGGTGCACCTGGTCACTCCCCTCAGTTTTGGGGGGCTTCCCTGCAGCCCCCAGCCGTGGAGGGTCCCTGGTTCCCCCCCCCCGCCATGCTCCCTCCGTCACCGCGCGGGGGTCCCAAAGCCCCAGGGTTCTTTCACGCGTGTGGTTGTTGTGGTACCGTGGGAGTCTGTCCCCTCTGGTGTGTAATAAAGTGTCCTTGGAGCCTGGGCTGAGCCTGTCTCCTCTCCTTGCCAGAGGGATGGCGGGGGGGATGTGTTTTCGGAGGGTCCGCGGGGGGCTCTGAGTGTGGGGAGGAAGGAAAGGCGTCAGCAGGATGGGGGAGTCTGGGCGGTGGACACAGTGAATCCCCCTCTCCCTGGAGCGGGGCAGAATTTACTTCTGTGGCAGGAAACTTCCCAGCGCCAGGGCTGGTGCTTTCCGGTGCGTAAACAGCAAATGCTCAGAAATTTCCACTTCAGCCAGCTGCCCCCGGCTCGCGGTCCCCGTGGTGCCGGCCGGGAGGTCGCTCTTGCTCTCTGCTCCGGCACCGCCTGGCGCCCGGAGGGGGCTGGGCAGAGTCCGTGCACTGGGGAGACCCAGCGGGGGGCAGGCAGGTGTCTGTGGTTTGGGGCCCATGGCCCGAGTGCGGCATCTGCTCACGAGTGAAATGTGGCTTGTGCTTAACGGCGCTGAGGGGCTGGGGCCAGGGTGCCGGCCGGGAGGTCGCTCTTGCTCTCTGCTCCGGCACCGCCTGGCGCCCGGAGGGGGCTGGGCAGAGTCCGTGCACTGGGGAGACCCAGCGGGGGGCAGGCAGGTGTCTGTGGTTTGGGGCCCATGGCCCGAGTGCGGCATCTGCTCACGAGTGAAATGTGGCTTGTGCTTAACGGCGCTGAGGGGCTGGGGCCAGGCTGGGGGAAGGGGGAGGCTGGTAAGGGGACCCCAGACTTGCTCTTCTGGTTTTGTGCTGGGGCTTCTCCCCAGCCCCCCCCTAGCGGGCCAATTGCCTGCTCCCACCTCAGGGCCCCTAAAGGCCTGGGCCCCGCTGCCCAGCCACGAACCCGCAGCCTTCTAGCAGCAGCCAAGCAAGGGCCCGTCCCCCGTCCCGCAGGGTTCTCCTGGCCGTTCCCCTCGACAGGGCTCAGCCTGACCCCGCACTGGGCTGCTGCTCTGTCCCTGGTAGCAGGGAGTTCCGCTGACTCATTGCCTGCTCCCACCTCAGGGCCCCTAAAGGCCTGGGCCCCGCTGCCCAGCCACGAACCCGCAGCCTTCTAGCAGCAGCCAAGCAAGGGCCCGTCCCCCGTCCCGCAGGGTTCTCCTGGCCGTTCCCCTCGACAGGGCTCAGCCTGACCCCGCACTGGGCTGCTGCTCTGTCCCTGGTAGCAGGGAGTTCCGCTGACTCACGTGCCTCTGGGGGTCACTTCCTTTATGTGGGGTGAGCCTGCTGCTAGCTGGCCATGCTCGCAGCCTTCTAGCAGCAGCCAAGCAAGGGCCCGTCCCCCGTCCCGCAGGGTTCTCCTGGCCGTTCCCCTCGACAGGGCTCAGCCTGACCCCGCACTGGGCTGCTGCTCTGTCCCTGGTAGCAGGGAGTTCCGCTGACTCACGTGCCTCTGGGGGTCACTTCCTTTATGTGGGGTGAGCCTGCTGCTAGCTGGCCATGCTCCGTGCGGGTAGGGGGGCCCAGACATGGGCCCCGCCCTTCAGGAACCTCAGTCTTTCTGAAGCGGGGGGGGCACCTGCCTCTTGTCACCGCCACCC